TTGAGTACATATTTTGTATCAAATGTGGAATAAGTGCGACATAGCTGGGTTCCAACATACATGAAATGTTAGGCCCTTTGCAACATATAGCCAACTTTATCAACGGCCACCAGCAAATCCATGTCAGTGGTGCATTTCAGGGGCGGATCCAGAATTATTTGAAGGGGGGTCCGCGGATGCGAAGTCGACCCCCTCCCTTTTGGCATGGGGTTCGGGACCCGCTGGAGTTCCCCGAAAAATTTTTGTATTTTAGAGAGCGAACGGTGCCATTTGGTATTGTTTAGAACTATGATTTAGCTAGTCAAAATTCTAATTTCAAGAAGCGACTTTTGGTGTGATTTTTCTCAGAAATCGAAGGGGGGGGGGGGGGGGGGGCAGGACCCCTCTGACCACCCTAAATCCGCCACTGCATTTAAAAGTATCACTGGACTAAGCATGTACAGTTTCTTCGGTACTCTGAAACCAATTTTATAATTAGCTAACTTACTATTCTAAGAAATGAAAAATAAGTTAGAGCGATTTTACGAAACAAAGGTGGAAGAAAGCAGCAGTGGGTCATATGAATAATCTTGATTAACTAATACCAGTTAGAAGAAACGAATGAACATTTTTGTACTTAAAACGTTTATTGATTTGGGTAATAATTAACAACGGACGCCTCCCTTCATGGCTTCGGGTTATCAGTACTCTGATACCAGTGTCAGGCCGTCCCATCTTAGAGTATGTGTATACACGAGGGGACCAAAAACAGAAAAATAAATAATATAACATAACATCACATAACAAAAAAAAAAAAAAAAAAAAAAAAAAACAATTTCTGTCAATTAAAATGAAATTATTCCCACTTATACATTTACTTTATCCCCATAAATCTTAGTTAAAAGCTAGACATCTTAATATGCGTTTTAACATTATGATAAGTGGTCATTGGTCTTCTTGGTTACCTTTTTGGTAAGCATACAACCAAAGTTGCCGAACACGAGGGGTAACAAATTTACAGGTCAATTGTTCATTACCAATGTTTTCATGGCCAGATACACAACCTCCGTTTGTGTTTTCTCAGGAAGGTGGTCTTTGACTCGACCGGCTTTAAAATCGAACTAGAGACTAGCCTCACAGGCCATGAGCACACTATAAATAGTAGGGCCACCCGGAAAACGTATCACCTCCCCCTTCCACTACTAGACACTCCTGGTAGAAACACGTTTTACAATAAAAACGCCACTGTCAATGTTTAGGTAGTCCCGCACCGCACAATTTTCTCATGTGCCTTACATCACCCCCTATTCCCCCTCCCCCCCCCCCCATTTCTATTTCAGATATGTCAAGTTATTCAGTAACAAACAAAACCCCCAGAGCCAATATTCCTGAAACAGAACCACGTGACCATGATCAAGTGTCATCTCATCCCTGTGACACTTGGTACCACTTTGATAACGCCGGCTTAAGTCTGCCAACGCAGGGCAAGCCGGACAGTCTTTTCTTCTCTCTCTTCTGTGGAAGACTGTGTTTTATGTTTTTTCCAATGAAGGTGTTTATGAGAAAAAAGACTTCATGACAGAAAAGCTCGTTTTTATAGTGGTCCTCTTGGCAGGTAAGAGATAAAAAAATATTGAGGGCGTGACAGAAGCGATATAAATTCATCATTATTTCAGAGTTATCAAAAAATACATGGATGTTATTGAATAATCTGAAAGACAATTTTACATTTTCATTAGTCTTGTTGATGTTTGTGTTATTGTTGGGCTTAGATTATACATAACTTTATTTTATCATTTTAATCAATGGGGTGCGTTGATATTCCAAACAAGCAGGAATTCCTTTCACTTCATTTTTTAATCATTAATAACATTAGTCTCCACGCATATAACGTTCGGTTGATTCAATCACCTACATCTCTTGTGAACATATTGATATTGTTTCATACATAAATGAAATGTATAGCAAGTTCAAACGTTCAAATTAATCAGATACTATTAAAGATATCTTTTCTAACTGTTGACTTGAGGTTTAACGAGAGGCGAATTTTTACAATCAAAATAACGCGAGTTCTGTGATTGGATAACGTTAGATAACCTGGTCATAGCATATTTACAAGTTTTTGAAACACCGAGATTCAAAATAACGTAAGGGATCTTAGAATGGAGATAGATGGATAACGCTGGACACAAGAGAAATCTAATACCAATCAAAATACATATTTTGAAGAAATGGAAAAGGGCGTGTAGGGAGGGAAAAAACGGAAAAGAGCATGTTGGAAGCTTTAACAAAAGTCCGTTACAACAGAATAACTAAGGCAAGAACCAACACCAGACCCTGCTTGACGCTCATTTTTTATAAGGCAAATGGGTTTCTTCACATCTAGTGAATGTCGGGTGTCGAATGGATTAGTCTAGACACTCGTGCCTTAAGTGTGCCTGATCTGCTGGTATGAAAGTATAAGACTATCCATTTGAAGTCCAAGAACATGCCAGAGGAGTGATTATTCTGAGTAGTTTTAGCAAAATAAGATTCGAACACTATGTTCGAGCCCTAAGGTATTATATATTCATTTTTGGGACATTTTACTAAACTAACTAGTCATCTTTGCCCACTCCCTGTGTATAATCTGTGGTATCCATTATTGATTACATGCATTCGATACATGACCTCAGCATTGCTGATATGTTTACCAAAGCATTATCTTTCTCTGGGACATCTTCAGGTATTACGGGAGACCTCAGAGTAGATACGCCCCCTTTTTCTTATGCAATGAAGTTCCATGTGAACGCGATTGACAGAAGGAAAGAGACACTTTAAATAAAATTTGTCTGTTAAATATTTCACATTGTAATTCCCTTTATATTTTGGATTTTCATATAAAGACTTTAGATATCTGGAAATACGTTGCTTCGTTTTCAATCCATAGGAAGGGGGTTTACCTTAACATATATTATTTATCCTCGTGTCATTTTGCCCAGGAAGATGGGTCCATCAGGTCTGTGAGATAAAATGGCAGTATCCCTTCTAATGTTGCTCTATCTCCACAAAGTAGCGTTTGTATCGTTTTCTATTACGAGTATTTTACCAAAATTTTTTGCGTTTTTTTTATCTGTGATTTCATTATTGACCTGATCAAAGACCCCACATTGAGGAGTGTGCTGTCATAGTCAACTAAATTTTATAAATTTATCACTACGATTCCATATTTGTGATTAAATATTTGCGCCTAGTGACACTAGTTCCCCGTGTTATGCAAGATGCGACAGATATGTGCGTTTTAGTATTTTGCTAAAAAAAGCTGTGATGTGTTAAAGAAAAGGGGAGGCCGGGCGTTGACTGATATATTTTTTTTTAAAAAAAAGAGACCACCCCACCTCGTTTAAACAGATTTGTTTATCACCAGATAGTAAAGGTGGTAAGGTCCCTTGTCATTTTAGTAACCAATATTTTAGGACGAGTGAAGAGGTGTGTCTAATCAAGGCACCTCATATCGAGGACAGTGCTGACACTGTAAGAGCGTACGTTGAGCTATCACTCTCGTTCTAACACTTAACGAGTTCCACTCAAGATTAATTGATACTTGTACGAAATTCTAATATCCGACAAATTGGAGATAATTTAAGCAAATTGGATATTAAAAACCAAAAATAAAGGGAGTATCTTTTCGCTGTCGCGATATCTTGATGAGTTTCGACCTTTGTTTATACTTATCATGATAAACAAAGTATGTCATTACAAAGGCTTGCAGAGTAAGGGGGCACCAAATGGACAGGGTTCAAAATACAACACAACTGTAACCACCCCCCCTACCCTCTACCAGGGCCGCAGTTATTTTTGTGTACTTTTTTGGCTGAGGCGACAGACCAAAATGACTGTTTATTTATCAGTCGCCCTGGTAGAGGGTAACCCCCCCCCCCAAAAAAAAAAAAAAAAAAAAAAAAAAAATAGATAGTAGAATTAAGTGTAAATGTCACTTTATTCTGTAATTATTTTAATTCAGTCGGCACTACTTTGTTAAATGACATTAATTTTTTCCTTATGCAACTACCTGAGATTTACCTTATCTCAACTCCCCTTGCTACTTCGTTATATATGCACGGAATAAGTCACTTAGTTAATCAAACTTCATAGATTTTTATCTTTAATTAAAAAAATCAACCTTATGTTAAATATAAACGACGAATAAGGTCCACATTCTTGAGCTGGTCAACTTTCACATTTACTGGATATCAACCGTACGTAGACTTGTCCACGTTTACGGACACTTTTTGTGCACTTTGTGACTCAAACCCTTGTATATACATGTATGTATGTATGTATGTATGTATGTATATGTATGTATGTATGTATGTATGTATGGTTTGTGATTTCTAAATAATCACAAAAAGTAAGCAAAAACAACAATAATATCATTTCAACTGACATTTTTTTCTTTGTAATCCAGGGGCTACGGCCCAGAGCCAATTGGACTGCGATTTTGAGGCAAATTTATGCCAATGGAAACAGGAACCTACGACCGACAATTTCGACTGGACAAGACAAAAAGGTACCACATCTTCCCAGAACACCGGACCAACCCGAGACCATACGACGGGAGGTGAGACACAATATTTGTTCAATGATATTCAAATACAAAATATATGTAGTATGTTTTGGTTACCATTGCTACATGGGTTAGCGCTATGTTTAATAGGAGTCCGGAGTCCTGAAACTCATCTCGCTTATTATCAACATCACGCTCTTTTTTCGTAAAACACGAACATCATAAATGCCAAAATAAATTCTAGTATCCTAAATGAGTAATAGACACAAGATTTTTTTATTAACCGTATTATTATTATTATTATTATTATTATTATTATTATTATTATTATTATTTTAACTTCAGGTGGATATTACGTATACATCGAAGCTTCTGGAGTACAAAATGGGTACAAGGCCCAACTTGTTAGCGCAACCATGTCCACGACGCAAACCCAGTGCCTACAGTTTTGGTACCACATGTACGGCCAGCACGTGTACGACTTAAACGTGTACTTAAAGTCGAACAACGCACTTGGCAAGGCCATTTGGACCCGGCGCGGGACCCAAGGAAATCGGTGGATACAGGCTAACATCAATCTCCCACGGAAAAGCAACTTTCAGGTATACATGAGTCAAATATTTCAAATTAAATTAAGTTAATTTGCTACAGCATCGTGGCAGTGGAGAATAGGCTGCGCGTGTGTAGGTGTGGAAGGAACGGCACGCGTTTGCAACTCTTTAGTACGGGGAAGTTATGACTTTTAGAAAATAACAATTATTATCCTTTGTGCAATATATCAAAATATCAGAACCACATTGATTCATTATATGAATTGGCACCATAATTACGAAAAAAAAAACAACAAAAAACAATTATCTGCAATTATCTACAATTATTAATATTGCGAGCTCGGAGCTCTTTCGTTGAAGTAGACCTATTATAAATCGTTTAATAAAACCCAGATAAAAATGAGAAATCTTAACATTAAGAAATGTTCACTTTTTGTAGGTCATCTTTGAGGGAATTCGTGGAAGTGGTTACCAAGGTGACATAGCCATAGATGACATTAAGTCATTCCCTGGAAATTGCCCGTCAGGAAGTAAGTTGCACTTTTTTTTTTACTTTGCATATTTTCAATTTTTTAATTTTAATTCAAGAAAGAACGAGTTCTTCATTATGTATAAGTTGATCAGCATGCCATTTGTTAAGATAATCAAGTTAGGCCCCAATGTATCCTAATTATTTCGTTGCATTCTAAAATCTGAGTATTGTTATAATTTGATATATTAATTAAAACCCTTGTATTACAAACTTATACCAAACTCCTTTACACTAAAAAAACTTTCAAAATGTACGGTTTTATTAAAATAGGTCAATGAAATTGTACAATTTCACCTTTGGTTAATTAAAACGCTTTGACTATTCTAATTGTTCTAGGTACAATTCGTCCTACTGGCACTGCGGTTCCTGGAGGCACTACATCAGCCCCTGTACTTACCCAGTGCAATTTTGAGAATGGACTGTGCGGATGGACACAGGATACTAAAGATAACTTTGACTGGACCAGACAGCAGGGAGCCACTCCCTCGGGCACCACTGGCCCATCCACTGACCACACGTATAAGACTGGCCTAGGTAAATATTGTTAAAGTTTCTTGTTCGATACCCCAAAAAGTACTTAAAGCCAAACGAGGGCACCGAATTGTTGTTCACAAATTAATCGTCAGACACGCCCATTTTCATGATATGATATCTTACTTGGTTACTATGCCTATGTTACGGAAACTACTTAACGTGCAAAGCGACTAGCTAATTGAAGATTAACGTTTATATGATATAAGAAACTGGGTGGGTGGGTGGGTGGGGGGGGTATTTTGCCAAAATATGACATTTATAAAGTTTCAAATATCTTCATGGGAGCAGATGTGAATAAACCACTTTTTTTTTTTTTTTTTTTTTTTTTTTTTTTTTTTTTGCCTTTGAAAAATTGTAATAAATACACTGATAATTTGATGATTCTGAATGAAAATTTACAGCGATATTGTGCGTCGGTGAAATCGAGACCCTTGTGCTTTTTTCAATTAATTGGTGTTGTCTAGTATCGATAATCTAATAATTTCTGACTAGGTGGCTTTATTTAAACTAGTTTAAAAACATATTTAGATAACGAAGCAAAAAAAAGTCTTTCAACTTTCAACCAGTCTCATTTTGGTGAAAACGGACCGGTGAAAACAAGAGCCTTTTGAAAATGTGCTCGATTGTACATCGATGCTACGGTTGTGATACATGTAGATGTGAATATCATTAGGGAATTCGCGTTATTAACAGCATTTTTGTTTCTTTTCAGGCTATTACATCTATATCGAAACGTCTTCCCCTCGTGTTGTTAACGATACAGCACGAATTTCAACGCCGAGGTTTCGAGTCAAGGGTCAGCAATGCCTGGAATTTTGGTATCACATGTACGGTCAACACATTGGGACATTGAATGTCTACTCCAAGCGGGGGAATGATTTAGGTTATCCCATCTGGACGAAGTCTGCTGACCAGGGCAATGCCTGGAATATTGCCCGGGTTACAGTTAATGCAAGGACTCCATTCCAAGTAAGTTTTTTTCGTAGATTGATGATAGTAAATCCTTCCACAAATGACATACAAACTAGTGCATGTAGTCATAGGGGGTACGTACGGATAAAATTTAGTCCCAAAATATTACACGTCCCTATACTCCCGTTACCGATAGATACATAAAGGAAAAACGGAAAAAACGTCTTTTTAGATTTAAATACCGATAGATCCGATTTTTTTCTGCTGTCCTATATATTTGCGTTCCTATAGATATGACGTCCTCATAAACCCACGTCCTTTAAATCCGCATACCTATAGATCCACGTATTTTTAGATCCAAATACCGATAGATCCATTACAGGTACACTATTGCTCGAAATGGTTTGTATACTACTCAGTACATAAAATGCACTTCTTTAAAACGGCAGTACGCAGTCAGCAATATATTTATTCTACTTGATCGTTTTCACACAATACTCAGTGAAAGAACATAAAAAGAACAAAAGTGTGTTCTATATTTCACAACGCTTAATTACTGTTCTAGCGTCAGAACACTGTTTAAAGCGTTCTCAAAATGTAACATTCGAACACGTGAAATGTGTTCTGAATTTACATGTAAATGTGTTCTAAACAAAACAAAAAAAAAAAGATCATAAAAATGTGTTCTAAATTTCACAACGCAAGTTGATATGGGCCTTTTAGCCGATTACGATGTCAGATAGATGGATCTAGCGGTACCTGGATCTAAAGATACGTGGGTTTATAGGAATCGGTTGGTGGATCTATCGGAACGTAAATTTAACGAGACATAAATCTTTTGAGACGTGTATGTATAGAGACGTATCTATCGGGGCGAATATTTTATTGGGACGTTTATCTATATGGCGGACCCCGTCATAGGGGTATAAGTTCTTAGTATTTCCTGACTTCTTGATGCACCAAGAGATGTTTTCAGTTTTTCATGCTGATTGATGAATATTATTATACAGGCATAGACATGTAAATTTTTGCACCAATATGAACAAAATTTATGTTTACTTTTTCTTACAATCTTAAAGGTGTACTGTATTAACACTATTCATTATGTTTTTCTCTTTTATAATGATGATTGACAACCCCCTCCCAAGAACCTGTATGTAAAAAGCCCCCTAAATCCAACTCTGTCTCAATTTATTTGCTGCACATACAGGGGCGGATCCAGGATTATTTGAAGGGGGGGTCTACGGATGCGAAGCCAACCTTCTCCCCCCCTCCCCTTGGCTTGGGGTTTGGGGCCTGCTGAAGGGCCCCTGGAAAATTTGGGTATTTTAGGAGGGCGAACAGTGCCATTTGATATGGTTTAGAACTATGATTCAGCTAGTCAAAATTCTGATTTCAAGAGGGAACCATTGGTGTGATTTTTTACAGAAATTGAAGGGGGAAGGGGTTAGGAGCCCCCTGCCCCCCCCTCCCCCTTAAATCGGCCACTGACATATGCCACAAAATGTTCATAATCATTGTAAAAATGCTGAAATGATTGAAATATCAATTTGAATATTCAAAATTGTCAACAAAAAATGCTAAATGACAATTGAAGTCACTGCATTAAAGAATCATATATATATGCATTACTGTGATTTGAGCATTAGAACATCTAAGCCAATCAGAAAAACAATCTGACATTAATCTCCCAGGTGCCTTGTATTTACCAACTGCTCTACAACATATGAGTTAATAACTTCTGTCATCATAGCAGATAAACCCGTTGATCCTCCAGCATGCGTACTGGTTGATCTGTGGTCCTCCCCCTGATCTTTGTACTTTACATGATCATAGATGATGACACCTCGGACAAGATAACATCATTATCCGCCCCCTGGATATCTTTCAGGTAGTGTTTGAAGCTATTAGGGGAACAAACTATGCTGGAGATATAGCCATCGATGACTTCAAACTCAGCAATGGAGCATGTGCTACACCAGGTATGTGATATATTAGCATGAAAGCCTGTAAGGAACTGCACAACATTAGCTTAATGTTCAGTGTACAGGATATATTTAATTTCATTTGAAATTTTCAATTAACTTCCTGTTACATCCCAGAAAATAACTGAAACTCTCCAAATGGAGTTCTTATTATTCAGTTGCATTTTGGGACAATTCATTGATTATAAAGAGTGCTAGTACTCCTAGATTATCTTGTATAAGACCATAATCTAGTCTAAAACTCCAATGATTTTTTAATTAATTTTTTTGTTGTGAAAGATTAAATTTCAATGATTCTGTTACTTTAAAAATATTCTGTTTTGGGTCTTTTATCTCTGATTTGAAAACTTAATCCAGATTTTGCTTTAAATAACTAAGACTAAACTAAAATTCCTCCGGATTGATAAGATCAGTGAATGCAAACATATTTGAAAGATAAATTAAATATATCTGTATTATTTTAGATATTGAATGACAGAGGAAATCTAAATGCAGATTTTTGAGATATTTAAATAGGTTGATCTTAAAATTAATGTTATTGTTATCATGATAACAGTAGTAGGATTTAGATTCAGCTCTAGTAGCTGTTGTTGACTCTTGGAGATAAAATGTGCGATTAGAAATATTTGCAAAGATGAAATGCCAGTATGTGGGCTAGATTGAAATAGAGCAATTAGCTAGGGAGTGTAGGGGGGAGTAGCACTATATAATAGAAAATCATGTAGGGGGAGGGTTATCTGTGCTTATAGGAGCAAGAATTAGGACAAGGCCTCCAACTTTGTTCCTTTATAAATTCAGGTAAATAGAGGGGCATACGCCAGTTCAAAATATTAGGCAAGTTGTTGGCAGGTAAAATTAATTTGGGAACTTGTGTTTTGTTGCATGTGTGCATAAAGCATGTTTTCAGCTGTAATATTTATATAGACTTGAATGTTTACCAAATATATTAACTTTCCTGGTCTGTCTTTTGAGTGGTTTTTCATGTCTTTTGCAAAACAATGACTATATGCACTGAAGCATGCTGAAATGGCACATGCACAAGGATTTTATATTTGAAAGGTGCAGAAACATCCCTTATTTTCTTGGCACTCTCAGGTTCATGTGACTTTGAAACTGATACATGTACATGGTCCAATGGAGCCAGTGATGACTTTGACTGGATCAGAAGACAGGGAGTTACCCCTTCACAGGGAACAGGGCCTAGTGTTGACCACACCAAGGGCACAGCAGCGGGTAAGACATGGGGATGGGAATGGGATTCATATTTGTGTTTCACAGACCTATGAGAATTATTAAAACTGTTAATGATGAAAATAATAATAATGAAAACAATAATGATAAATTATGGTAAGAATTTAATGGCCATTACAAAATGATTATTGACTTTAAGAAAAGACTTTTTGTTTTGATGAAGACTGCTAGTATAATACAGATATGATAAATATTATTATTTTTTAATTTCAGGCTACTATGTTTTTATTGAGGCCAGCAGCCCCCGACGCCCTGGTGATCGTGCAGTATTCTCAAGTCAGAGTTTCAATCCACATGCCAATGCTAGATGCCTCAGGTTCTGGTTCCACATGCTGGGAAACCATGTGGGGACACTCAGGGTATCCCTGTCAGTCAATGGACTGGATAGCTCACTGTGGCAGCTGAGTGGGAACCAAAGTAACAGCTGGAAACAGGCATCTGTCCCCATTGCCCCACAGAAAAGTGCATACAAGGTGAGCCCAAGTGGTATTTATTTTTAATTTTTAAATTTTTTTTGTGGGCACCAAATTATTTAGAGAAAAAACAGTTTACAGTATTCTGGGGTTGCCTTTCACAAAAGCTTTTGAATAATGTTATGTAGGTTTGTTTACATATTAAGTAGTAAATATCCAGCCGTTATTTAATGTGCAAAATAACAGTGCAAAATAAACTTTGCAATAATAATAATAATAATAATAATAATGAATAGATATAAAATTGAATTAAGGAAAAAGGAGATTAAAGCTGTAATAAAAATTGCTTCCAGTTTATGCAGAGGGAGGTGGGGATAGACTTAGGGCAGACTGGACATTGTTCCTTATCAAGCATGTTTGGATAACATTGCCTGCATCCAGTCTATCCCCTCAGCTTTATCTCTCTCTAATAAGTGGATCTCTTATGCTTATCATTAGTGGCAGTACAGGCCATATCACCATAGTCTCGCCCCCTTGTTCCAAGTTCAAAACCTTGTCTAGTGAGATGTCAAGGTTCTTAAAAGACAAAAAACCCACAGAACTGCAGTTTTGATAATATGTTTTAGCTGTTGCATAATATATATTTTCTCATTTATATAGATTTTTTGAGTTTCCTTAAATATAATAAAAAATTTAGTATATTAGCGTATTGAAGTTTTTTTCATCAGTGAAGGCAAGGAAAGTTCAATTTTAATTCTCATTGTATGTAATTTGTTAATTAAAAGATTACCCAATGTTGTTTTTTTTAGAGATGTTGTTTTTTAGAGATAATTAATGGCAAAATTGTCAAAGAATAGTATCAGATGATAAAACCTATCCAGTAAATGAAATACTGTATAGCATTATGAACCAGTATTATTTACCTAAGATACCTATTTTACAGACTTATTATTGTTATTGTTTCTCAATCTTCTCTTTAGGTTACCATAGAAGGCATCGTTGGCCAAGGTTTCCAAGGAGATATTGCTCTAGATGATATCCAAATCTCATACAGAACCTGTCGATGTAAGTAGTACATTTGCTTCAGGCACTGCTTTTTTTTCATATGAGAGTAGAGAATATATTTTATTTCTGTAAATGACAGTGATAAAGAATAGTTTAGTTAAAGACCTTTATGTTATTTCAGTACAACCTGGAAAGGCCACCCCCTCTACTGCCACAACTGTAACAGTGCCAACTAAGACCACACCCACCACTCCTTCAACGGGATCTGCTACTACCACACCTTCAGGTATGTCTATTTCTGTTTGAGTGGCACCTTTGTGATGCCAGAAAAAACATAAAATATATATAATATCTATGTCTACTCAAAATTTGTCTGCTCTAAATTCAGCTAAAATCTTTTTATATTATTTTTCACGTATACAAAATGTTTTTTACTGTAGATACATTTATAAATGAATATATACAAATCGTTTTCTACTGTAGATACATTTATAATTGAATAGATCAACTAATTTCTATAATACATGTTTGACAGAAACACGAGAAAGACACTGCTTCAAATGAGTACCATGCAGTACTAATGAATTTTTATATATTTATTATTATTTTTCTTATTTTACAAAGCTGCCACTGTTAACTGTAACTTTGACAATGGGTTCTGTGGCTGGACACATTCAACTAAGGACAACTTTGATTGGCTGAGAAACAGAGGAGCCACATCAAGTAGAAATACTGGACCTACACAAGACCACACCGGAAGTGAGTACAGGGCAATATGCTGTGATATTTGGGTTTACAATTTGGAAACATTGGTGATTCTAATATTTTTGTGTTTGAAACAGTGCTAAAATTTGGAAATGTTTTCAAACTTACATCTTTTCATGGTTATGAAACTATCCATATTTAGTTTTGTTGGTAAAGGTATCAAAAAAAAGCATCTATTCAGGAGAGTTACAAACAATAATGATGAAAAATTTTGTTCTTGAGACATGGATTATTGTGAGAAATGAAAATACAAGCCTTGACATCAGTCCCATTTAAAGACAGGCACCAAAAAGTGATACCAGTCTGTGCATTTCCCTAATCTGAGTTTTTTTTTTCATTAACGTAAGTAACAACCAGTTTATTTTCATTTATAAATAGATGGGTACTACATCTATATCGAAGCATCAGGCAAGACGCAAAACAAGACCTCCATGATAGAGACACCACAGGTTCCTGCCTCCACCACAGGACACTGCTTGCGTTTCTGGTACCACATGTATGGTGACCAAATTGGAACACTGAATGTGTATATGAAGAACAGACCCAACCTGGGAAGACCCTTGTTCACTAAGAGTGGTTCCCTTGGCAACAAGTGGATCCAAGCCAATGTCACTCTGATTTCCAGGAATAGAGCATTCACTGTGAGTGCTTACTTAGATTCCTTTGGTGGCAAAATATTTTAGGGATGAATCAGTTTTAAAATTAAACAGCATTTGAATATTATATGTTATTGATATAGAAGACTTAGATACATGTTAGTTGGGTGAAAAAAAGAGCTACTTGTATGATCATTGATATCTTTAAGAAGGAAGTGCATGTTGAAGTGTGATATATAAATATATATTAAAAGGACACATCTTCAATTTCAGGTGGTGTTTGAAGGCTTGATTGGAACAGGTTATCGTGGTGATATTGCATTAGATGATGTCACTGTGTCTACTGGAAACTGCCAATGTAAGTTTTAAAACTTTTCAAAAATATTTTTCTTTATTTATAACAAAATGATTGACTTCTTTTATCATTACCAGTCAGTTGTGGTATTTTGCTTGTGTTCTAAAATACCAATTATATTGTTCACCAAAGATTTTGACAAATATTATTGTCATAGCTGAAGTCTTGCAATAATGACAAATACACCTCCGAATTATCATTTTACACTATGTCAAAAGTTTTTTAGTTGTTTGATAAACATCTGCTTCATTATATGTTTCAGCCACTACCCCAGCCTCCTCCAGATCCTGTGATTTTGAAGATGCCAAGATTTGTGGCTACACCCAGGACAAGACTGGTGACCAGTTTGACTGGACAAGGGCCAGTGGTGCCACATCATCTGGAAACACTGGACCTTCTAATGACCACACCTATGGAACACCACAAGGTATTTTGTCAGTAATTGGGGCTTAGAAATGCATTTAATTGAAAATGACCTCTTTTGATTTTGGTAATATCTATATTTTGAATTCATACTTGGTGAAAATTTTACAAACAGCCAAATTTTTTTATTGTTTATTGTGTGTGTTTTATTACAATTCAATCAGAAAGGGTCTGGTATTATAGACGAACAGAGATGTCCAATTAACTACTGCACCTTTAATTTATTTTGAAATTTTTTTGTCTAAAAGTATTTTTGCAAGACACCCTAGAATAAAAAAAATGTTAATGGAGGAAGATGGTTATGTGCAATCTTCTGTCACAGCAATTAAAGATGTATGTCACTTCCTGAAATGAGATGATATAAGCATTTTATTTTATAAATTCCAGGTGAATACATGTACATTGAGGTGTCAGCCCCTAGGAAAGTGAATGACATAGCACGCCTGACTTCTCCAAAGTACAAAGACAACCAAGCCATGTGCCTGCAGTTCTACTACCATATGTATGGACAAGATATTGGGACCCTTAATGTCTTTGCAAAGGTACTGAAAGTTAGCAGAATCTTTGTTGAAGAACAAAAAAGTAAAGTTGATTGATGTAACATGATTGAATAGCATTGAATTGGTATCAGAAAGATTAAACTCTGAATGTAAAATGTCTTTTGACTCAGAAATTAAAAAAATAGACATGTGCTCCATGTGCAGTAGTGTCATAGTTAATGAACACACTTGTAATTCCTACAACAACAGGTTTTATCATTCTAAGGTTTAAGCTTGACTGTATTATTGTGTGGTAATGTAGGTTAACCAGGCCCTAGGTAGTGCAGTGTTCAGTATGAAAGGAGACCAAGGCAACAAGTGGCAAGTGGGGCAGGCTACCATACCTGCTGCAGCTGCAAGGAGAGGCTACCAGGTATTTTAGTACACACAAGTCCAAAAAATATATTTATGAATAAAAAGCAATAAAAAGCATGTCATGTCTAAAATTTTTCTATATGGTTTACAAAGCATTAAGCAAACATCAGATTCTTTTTTCACAAAAAGAATGTAAACCTTTTAGTATAATTCATCAAGCAAACATTGGATTTTTTTATTACAAAAAGAATAAGTAAACTTTCTAGTATAATTCTAAGAAATTAATAACACATCATTCCTTGTTCCTTTTACAATAGCTTGTGTTTGAAGGCATCCGTGGCAGCAACTACAGAGGAGACATAGCTATTGATGACATTAGTATGACAAAGGGGGCCTGCGCCAACCCTGGAGCCTGTGACTTCGAGACTGGCCTGTGTACCTGGACCAATGTTCAGGCAGGTGACCAGTTTGACTGGACACAGGGCAATGGGGGAACATCCAGCTCTGGGACTGGACCAACTATTGACCACACACTTGGAACAGCTGCAGGTGGGATTTGATTTGTTTTGAAAAAGAAAAATATATTTAAACAAACAATTTCTTTTCTTTTTTGTTTGTGTTTATAAGAGTTGGAAAGTATGTTAACTTAAATGATATTGAAATGTTTTTAAATATTTCATTATATTCAGATAACATTTTATTCATATGATTAAGATGGATTGAAAGATTTTTCTGATAGCAATTTCATATTGATTGACTGTGCTATTCTTATGAGTCTATTGAATGTAACTAATGTAATGTTAAATGTATCTGTAAATCCTCTGTCCAATATGTAATTTTTAGGCAAGTACATGTACATTGAGGCCTCCAATCCCAGAGTCAGGGGTGACACAGCTTTATTGATCAGCCAAAGTTTCCCACCTGCATCAGGACCACGTTGTGTCACTTTCTGGGTTCACATGTATGGTGCAAACATTGGCACGCTCAACGTTAAGCTCCGCCAGGGCTCGAGCAACACTATTATCTGGACCATGAACAGTAATAACGGAGACAAGTGGATTAGTGCCCAGGCACCATTCACCAGCTCCCAGGTCCACTCCATAGTGTTTGAAGGCATCCGTGGCACAGGCTTTCAGGGAGATATTGCCATTGATGATGTGGGCTTCTCTGATTCTAATTGTGGATGTGAGTAACACTGATAATACATGTAGAAGTTGCCAGGTTCAGGAGTATATGCAGAAAGTTAAAGTTTATATTTTATTGCTTCTTCAGGGGTTCCATATACTATATTTGTTATTTACAGAACAGAAAGATATTTTGAATTATAAATATATAAATATCTTAATGTGGTCAGTTAAACAAAAAGTATGTGAGTATTTCCTATTTTTTATTTTTGAAAAACAAACTTTCTTGTTCAGAAAAAAATATTGTTCAGCTGAATATGATTATACTCATCATTTGTCACATTGAGAATAAATATATTCCAGTGGTCCCAGCAGCAGCCACGCCACCCCCTCAAACCACCATTACAACCACAACTCCAAGCAAGGTCAGCACCACTACGCCTGTACCTGGAGCTTTTACCTGCAACTTTGAGAAAGATTTCTGTGGCTGGACTCAGGATACCAAAGACCAATTTGACTGGACAAGACAGAATGGTCCAACCTCCTCAACCAACACTGGACCGTCCACTGACCACACCATGGGAACTGGAGGTGAGGGCAGAGAATTTAAAGTTTTAATTTTAGATTATCATGTTGATTATTGTTTTTTTTTTTCTTATACATTTTTAGTCATTTAGAATTCAATTCATTTGTTTTAGCTGTATTTTTATTTAATATTTGAATGACATTTTTTTTTAACTTTGTTAATTGGATTTTTTTAAGATCAATGCTAAATATTTGAAAAATATTTGAAGGACTTTGCATTGTTAATGTGAAAGGGATTTGTAAGTCAATTGAAAATGAATTTTCTATGTGTTTCTTAACAGCTGGCTTCTATGTATACATTGAGGCAAGTCCTGTAGCTCCAGGCAATAAGGCCAGGCTGGTCAGTCCAATTGTCCAGTATTCTGGCTCCGTCCAGTGCTTGACCTTCTGGTACCACATGTATGGTCAGCATGTGGACACCCTTAATGTGTATGTCCAAACCAGGCTTAACCTAGGCTCCCCAGTGTGGAGCAAGAATACCACTCAGGGCAATGTGTGGAGGCGGGCACAAGTGGATGTCAATGCAAAAGTTGCTTTCAATGTAAGTGAATGTTTTTTTTTTTTTATATCGCATTATTTTCTGTGAGTTAAATTTGAAGGTGCGTCTGTATTTGTGAATGTTCTACTTTCAGAATTTTCAGGGCTTGTAATTTTTTTCTCAGTAATGACTTTCATTTAATTTCTGTAATGTACATGGAGACATTGATGCTGCTGTTGGCAGTGCTCTAAATATCATCACTTTTACCTATGTTATGTTCTTTATTTGTGACATTTCATAATGTTATGAAAGGCTTGCACAATAAAGCGTGGGGAATAATCAATATTGAAAAAAGCAACTGTTGTCATAGCTAAATTGCCCTTTAATTGTAATTTCCCTGATTTTTTTTATTCAGATTGTCTTTGAGGGTGTAAGTGGTATAGGATATGCAGGGGACATATCTTTAGATGACATTGATATCAAACCTGGATACTGTCAACAAGGTGAGATGATATTTTGTAATTGTTACATATATAATGGCATCTTGCTACATGTGAGCATAACAAAAATGTGATACTTCAGTGTTCAAGTCTTTGAATGTTTTTTGGTCAATTTTGTTTATTATGTTTACCCACAAGTAAATTCGATATATAAGGCGTATGCAGTTAATTTAATCCTTTTTCATTAAATCTCTATGACAGCTTTTCTTGTTCAAACACACATTTCTGTTGGTATAGCAAACTATTATCTACATTTTTGAAAAATTTTCACTCATGATTCTATAATCATTGACCATATCTTTTTATCTCTCTCATTCCATGATTTCAAACCAAGTCTCTGTATTTTGTCTACAGGCTCCACTGCTACCCCAGGTGGCACCCGTGCCCCAGCCACTGTGTGTGACTTTGAGAACCCCACTGTGTGTGGCTTTTCACAGGTCACTACTGGTGACCAGTTTGACTGGACAAGGGCCAAAGGAAAAACCAGCTCTGGAGGAACTGGACCAAACACTGACCACACTTATAACACTGACCAAGGTATCTTGGGTCATTTTCTTACTTTCTGTCTTTTATTTGAATGTTTTTCTAAAGAAGTTTAAAGCTGCATGATGGTTGATTGAAGACGGTTTTATACTCCACTTATGTAAAAGTTTCCTACTTATTGTTTTTCCAGAGAACTAAACAAATTTTATAAGTTCATGAAAGATTTTTTGACATTTTATGCATGGTATATATAAAATAAAATATAGTCAAAGATGCCACTTTTTAATAAATAGAAGGTACATAAATGCTCTAGCTTACATTTTGATTTATTGTTTGTCAAATGCCCTTTTTTAGGCTATTATATGTATGTGGAGGCTTCCAGTCCAAGGAAAAATGGTGACAAAGCACAACTAGTATCACCTGTGTATTCCACCACAACACAGTACCAGTGCCTACAGTTCTGGTACCACATGTTCGGCAGGAACATTGGAACACTCAATGTCTACCTTAAGGTGGGAGCTGTCACAGCAAAGATATGGTCAGAGACAGGTATGTAGGAAAGAATTGAATAGCTTCACCAATCAGAGTACAGTTTTGTTTGACCATTTCAACACCTGTAGCTTATTTAGAAGATGTGAGCTGGATTTAGAATACCTGATTCTGAGTTATGGATTGAATGGGATATTATGGATTGAATGCATTGAGTTGGATTTGGTTTATCTTTCAGGTGACCAAGGAAACAAGTGGTATATAGCATCTGCCAGCATCCCTCCTCAAAACAGGCTCTTTCAGGTAGTGTTTGAAGGAGTAAGAGGGACTGGTTACCAAGGGGATATTGCCATTGACGACTATGCTATAAAATCTGGAGCATGCCCAGTGCCAGGTTAGATTTTTTTATTTAAAATTTTGGTTTTCATTTGAAAAGGTTGACCTTTGATTCATAAGAATGGTTTGAGATTTACGTATTCATTTTCTAAGATTTAAGTTTGTTATTGTTTTTAGGATTTTCCTTAGTTGTAAGAAAATGTTATATATATGTAAGGAAAAGATCTTCATTTGGTTAAGAGTGGGGATAATTAAGTAACAAATCTTTCTGTGGGTTAATTTCTTAAATGCTTTACTAGTTTAGAATATTAAAATATGCTATTGTGTTTCTGAATGCTATGATATTTATCTTTTTTGTAGGTAATTGCGACTTTGAAGTAGACACATGCACATGGACCAATGTTGGCTCTGGAGATAAGTTTGACTGGACACTATCTAGTGGTTCAACGTCCAGTGGAGGAACTGGACCTAGTGTTGACCACACTGTGGGAAGTGCAGCTGGTAAGTTTTAGCTATATGATTATGCAATTGAAATCTCATATTTCACTAAGGTTGTTTTAAAATATAACTTTTAAAATCAACTATCTGTTATTGGTGTTGTTTTCTAAATGTATAAAAAATTAATTTTATTTTTGTTTTATTTAATTTTTTTGGGGTATTTATCTTATTTTGGTCCAGTTTTGTTTCTCTTACTTGCAATAATTTATTATATAAGCACCATTATTTATTATATAAGTGGTTTCATTGACTTTGACTTTCACTGTCTTAGGCAAGTATGTTTACATCGAGTCCTCCAGACCCAGGGTACAGGGAGACAATGCCATGCTGCAGAGTGAGGTGCTCAATGGGAGTTCCCAGTGCCTTCACTTCTGGTACCACATGTATGGAGTCAACATAGGCCTCCTCAGGGTGTGGATCAAATACCCCACAGGAACTCCTAAACCTCTGTGGGAGAAGACTGGGAACATTGGCCAAGCTTGGCAGGAAGGGAGGGTCTCTATACAGAATCCTGGAGGGCCTTACCAGGTAGTTCATATTTAACCATAGTTATGGATTTTTATAAAAAAATCCTGAGCACTTGAATGCAGTTGACATTTTATATCAGTGTGCATCATAATTTTATTTAATAGAAATTCCTCTTAATCCACATCATAGTAGGATTGTAGATGTTGTCTTAGCTACATTGGATACAGTTGGTCCATACAGAGATGAGCCTGAAGACATGGCAAGATAAAGTTCATCATATGTATATTGGGTGGCTAAAAAAAGAAAACATAAAAAAATGCTACCAGTTCAAACTTTAATTTGGAGATGTTGCAGTGAAATTTGGGATATTTTAGGGAAATGATGTCTTTAATGAATGCTGAAAATTTGAGAGACCTACATTTGATTTGGCACACCAGAAAAGAATTAAAATCTGAGGTCAAAATTGCCATACCAACCTACATAACTTCTGACAGGTACCAGTGTCAGGCAGCTTTGACACCTGTCTGTGTGTTTTTGATACGAGGATAATATCAAGACTTTTTTTTTAAGGCTTGAAATTTTCAGCTTTGACCAATAATTATAAAAGTTAATATATTAAAAATCTGTGGAAAAATTCAATTCAAATGTTTGTGAACTTTGAAATAAGTAATGTTTTTTTTAGGGAAATTGTTTCATTTTTATAGCATCAAAGGCAGTTAAAAAAGTTGCATGACCCGTCATTTCCTTGTTTCCAGGTTATATTTGAAGGTGTCTGTGGTAATGGTTACCAGGGAGACATAGCCATAGATGACATATCTTTTGACAAAGTCAGCCCTTGCAACTGTAAGTGATAGTTTACTATAGTGACAGTGATTGTTTTATTCAAAAAATATCAAAGAGATTTGTATCATTATTATCCAATGAAGAGTTCATCAGGTATGAATTAAGCATTTGTGAGTGTGCTAGATTTTAATTCTATAAAATGGCCAAATGTTTTAACTCTAAGATTTAAAACTTGCCGCAGTTCAAGTAAAATTGTCTGCAGTTAAATAGTGCCCATCATTTTGTCAAATATTTGATCATGACATGATATTTCTAGTGCTCCCAAGTGATGCCACACCCACAGTGACCCAGGCACCTACTACTGCCAGCACAACCCCTACAACCACAACCACAACAACCCCTACAACCATAACCACAACCCTGTCGGGCTCAGCGACCACACCCACAACAACACTGGCAGCTCAAACAGGTGGGTGGACAATTTAGATCTCTGGAAAAGCTTAAACTGTAGAGGGTTTCAGGCATACCTGAAATTCAGTGCCTTACATTCTTAAGTTAGAAAAAATTCCATTTATAAATGTTTACTTACTGTCTGTCTTAAAGGTTTGAAAAAGCATGCTACCAACTGCTTTGACCCTTGTGACTACTGTGTAAACCACCAAACTACAAAAGTAGTACCATTTGGACTAAAGTAGTTGCTCTACAACTATTACAATGTACATGTAGCACCGTAGCTGTTATGTACACTTTTCTCATTAGTTATGTAAGGACTGTATTATTCTACTTGTTTTAAACAAAAATTATTATCATCATGTATTAGTACGTCTTGCATTGCTAAGAGAGGGTAAAAGTGGCACTGTGTTTACAGGAATTGATTGTAACTTTGATGTAAGTCTGTGTGGATGGAGCCAAGATACAAACGATCAATTTGATTGGACAAGGCAAAAAGGATCCACCTCCAGTCAGAATACTGGGCCATCACAGGACCACACCAGTAGAGGTAAATAATGAGGCGTAAGCTATCCAAACAAATATTATGAATATTGCAAACTGCTGCCCCCTACTGAATATGTTCAAATGCTAAATAATAAATCAAGGCAAGTTAAGAATATATATATATATATATATATATATATATATATATATATATATATATATATAAGTATATTGGATGACTTAACATGTTATAAAAGCCTGTTTGCCTGTTTTTATAAATTTTTCAGTGAGCTACCATTTTTTATTCCAGCTGGCTTCTATGTATACATTGAGACCAGTGGCAGAAAGAATGGAGACAAGGCCCGTCTAACCAGCCCTGGCCTGCAGGTGCTGGGGAACCAGTACAAGTGCCTGTCATTCTGGTACCACATGTATGGTGCCCATGTCAATTCCCTGAATGTGTACTTCAAAAGTGGGACAACTCTGGGCAAGGCGATTTGGACCAAGAAAGGCACCCAAGGGAACAAGTGGATACAGGCTCAGGTGGACATTTCTGGAACAGCATCAGGGAGAAACCTACAGGTGACATAATTATGACAAAATGTAGTCAAAGTCATGTTGCTGTTTCCTTAAGTGATGATATAAATTGCATTCAGTCTCATTATTGCATGGCTGATCTTTTTGTCTCTTTGTTGTTATTCAGAGTGGTACAAACAATAGAAATGCTCTGTCATTTATCACTATTGTTTTTTGTATTTTGTTGAAACAAATTAAAAATTTTCACCAAATCATTGAGAAATTTAAGTAATTATTAGGATATTTAAAGATATCTTTGATAATATACCTGTAAATCCCCTATTAGATAATTTAAATATCATGTTAGGTGGTATTTGAGGGTGTGAGAGGGACTGGTTACCAAGGAGACATATCTATTGATGATGTTACAGTGGTGGATGGAACTTGTGCAGGTAAAAACAATGCTTTATGTCCAAATTTACAGCTTCATCCTTCTCTTAAAATTTCTTTGAGCATTATTTTTAGAAGCATTCAGTATTTGTCAATTTTTTCTGTTAATTTCAGTAAAGAATGAGAATAATTCCCTTGTGTTTGCTCAAGATTAGTATGTGTCATACACAAAAGCAAGCATTGGGGCTCACCTTATGAATTTTGTTACAGCTGTCACACCCACTACCCCTCCACCAGGTGTCACTATAGGCACTGTGACACCACCTTCACTGGTGTCATGCAACTTCCAGACTGGGTTGTGTGGTTACACTCAAGATACCAGTGACCAATTTGACTGGACCAGGTCTAATGGAGCCACCTCCTCACAGGGAACTGGACCCTCGGTGGATCATACATATGGAACACCTAATGGTAAACAAAATAACATGAATAATTCTTTTCATTTCTATGTGGAATCCAGACCCTTGATTATTTGTTGTGCATGCTGCAGAACAGTAGTTTAGTGATAGTTTTTTTTTTTTTTTTTTTT